TTTTACTAAACACTCAATAGGTTGTACTTACTGCTCTCTCTTCACTTACTTTTACTCAACACTCAACAGGTTGTACTTACTGCTCTCTCTTCACTTACTTTTACTAAACACTCAATATGTTGTACTTACTGCTCTCTCTTCACTTGTACTAAACACTCAATATGTTGTACTTACTGCTCTCTCTTCACTTACTTTTACTAAACACTCAATAGTTTGTACTTACTGCTCTCTCTTCACTTACTTTTACTAAACACTCAATATGTTGTACTTATTGCTCTCTCTTCACTTACTTTTACTAAACACTCAATATGTTGTACTTACTGCTCTCTCTTCACTTGTACTAAACACTCAATATGTTGTACTTACTGCTCTCTCTTCACTTACTTTTACTAAACACTCAATAATTTGTACTTACTGCTCTCTCTTCACTTACTTTTACTAAACACTCAATATGTTGTACTTACTGCTCTCTCTTCACTTGTACTAAACACTCAATATGTTGTACTTACTGCTCTCTCTTCACTTACTTTTACTAAACACTCAATAGTTTGTACTTACTGCTCTCTCTTCACTTACTTGTACTAAACACTCAATATGTTGTACTTACTGCTTCTCTTCACTTACTTGTACTAAACACTCAATATGTTGTACTTACTGCTCTCTCTTCACTTACTTGTACTAAACACTCAACAGGGGATGTTAGGGACATTATATGACCAGCCCAAGCATATGGTTATCCATCCAATGATAATAATGTGTCTGTCAAGACGGTTCCCTAGAAACCCCAACTCTTGTTGTAAGTGGGCCAATGCTTGACTGAGTCCGAGTCATGAGAACCATATGCAACTATTTAACAGTAATCATACAAAATCAGAAGGATGTTAGGGACATTATATTGGTCGAGTCATAGGCGGATGCAACTTACTGTAACAAGTACCAGTTGTGATGCAGTGGCCCAACTGTCAGAAACTGTTAACAATAGCCTATTTCATGTACCATGTGTTATGGTTGTAGTACACCTCGGCACCAGTTCCCGGAGAATTATGATTGGTGAACTGACCAATAGAAAAAGACTATGTGGTTCAATGAATCACATTTCACCCTACTTCCAATGCATGGCAGAATTTGAATGTGGTGGATGTATCGTTTCAGTAGTTCAGTCCGCTGGAGGTGGCGACATGGTCCTTTCATTGCATTTCAGGATCAAGTTCATTTAGCAATTATGCTTCTGTGTCCAGGAGAGGATAGAATATTTAAGAATGACGATGTTATCATCTACCAGACTTGCACTGTGCAGGACTGGTTTTCAGTAGTTTAACATACAAATTCTGGTCATCCCAATTTCATCGAGCATACATGATATATTTTGGATAAATGCATCAGAGCCTTCCTTGGCCTCTGGAACAGCTACAGAAAGTTAACATTTTTCTGACCTAAAAATGTATTTGTAATAGATTCCTCTACATACAATTAAGCTATCCTCCCCTGTGTATCAGCCGTAGAGATTGGCCTTTAAGGAAACTTCCACCTGATCACACAAGATTTCTTGTGAACTGCACTTCTGCAGTACGATTTTATGCAGCAAAAGCCCTCTACCAATAGGAGGGTGACACACCTCCTTGCACACTAACTCCCTCTATGCTTTTGTACTTTTGAATCTTCACTTTCTGACAAGGAAAGGAATATTGAGATGCATCAGAAGTGGGGAGGAAAGGTGGGCATGTGTGTGTTCAGAGGAAAGTATCTATCGTAAATTGTTTGTTTGTTTGAAGTTAAGCACAAAGCTACACAATGGTCTATCTGTGCTCTGCCCACCACAGGTATCGAAACCCAGTTTCTAACTTTGTAAATCTGCAGACATACCGCTGTGCCACTGGGGGGCGCTCTATTGAAAATACATTTTCAGGTAAGGAAGGTGTTACCTTCTGAGACAACACACACAATTAGGTTAGAATCCCATGCTGAAGTGGTGGAAGGGGCTGGTGCAAAGAATTACCTCAATGAATTCCCTTCAGATGAGCTTGACAAGTCTGACAGGGGGTAGAAGAGGAAAGATGGGAAACTGGGGACTAATTCCAGGTATAATGATGGAAAGTTGGGTTTGGTATATGGTGTAGTGTGGAAATAAAGGACGAAAGCAAGGACTGATAATAGGCAGCCTCAGCCCACAGTTCAAACAAATCAGGAATATCTCCTAAACTTAGGGCAAAGAAAAGATCTAGTAGAAGTGAAACTTGGGATAGGAGAGTATCCCTACCAAACATTTCCCAGCAACAAAGAACCAAGTGAGCAGGGAAATGGTGGAAGTGGAACAGGTCACAGTGGAGAAGTAAAGGGAACAAGAATCACTCACAAAATTCACTAGGCACAGCGGAGTGCCTCAGACTTGTGTTGTAGAGAGGAGAGGTAAAAAAGCATAGTAAAAAGGATCAGGTGAAGACAGGAGTATTGGGCACTGGAGGATGAAATGAACGTCAACAGTACCTCTCCTCCCCCCAAAAAGAAGAGACAAAGGCAATCTCAAATGTGAGAATTGTGAAATGGGATTTAGAATGACTAAAACTGAGGATATAAGAACCATATAGACAGGGAGGGCACAGCCTGAAGTTGTGGGAATGTAACTGGTCAAGGAAATGTAAACAAAGTTAATTAGAGTTAAGATTAAAAAGTAGGGAAGACGACAAAGAATATTTCACATTGGGGGGAAGAATGGTGCATACCTGCGAAATTAAATCTTAATGATATTTAAGGTTTCTCTACAACAGGGAGAGAAGTTCTCAAAGAATAACCAGAAAAAGAAAAGAACCAATTTCATCTTCTTCATTCTCCCCACAAATTGAGGGGGGAAGGAATGCCTAAAAGAAGGAACTGGAGCTGAAGGTCCTGGTTGCATAAGGGAATCCACTACCCTACGTACAATGGCGAGCATGTCATCTCCCCAGTGAACAAAAGTAGTAGAAGATGTTAGATGAACTAGTAAGTTCGTAGTTTGTAGAAAAAAAAAGAATGAAATTAGGTTCCTTAAACATCGCAAATCTTGTTAAACTGGAAAAGAAAAAACATTTTTGATATGTTCAATGAGAAGGAAAAGAATGAAGATTCATAAATTCAAAAGCATAGAGGGAGTTAGTGTGCAAGGAGGTGTGTCACCCTCCTATTGGTGGAGAGATAATAACATCAATATGCATTAGCACAATTCGCAGGAAATCTTGTGGCATGCAAACTTCTAAGGCAGATGCACAAGGAAGGTAGCTTAAATGGGTGAAGAGATATGTATGGTCTCTAAAGATGTCTTGTGCGATACTTTCCACGATGAGATTGAGGCCATCCTCTACCTTTTTGGACAAAACTAGATATCTAACCAGCATACTGTTTTGTAATGAAGTATTAAGACACACTACATCTGAGACAATATATATACTAGTATCTTAATATGATATTAGATTTCAAACTGTAAAAAATACATATCTGGAAAAGAAAGCACCCGCTTCATATTAACTTTTAGTGAGAAGGCAATTTATAAAAAACTAATCACTAGTTTCCATTACCCTCAAGTTTATATACTGTCGGTTCTGAACAGATTTAATCTTTAACACTACCGTGTTCAGGTGAAAATTATCTTGTAATATAAACAAAGACTAATCATTCAGGTTCTTTGTACATAACTTCAAGTTCTAAATTTCCATCTCTTCTCTTGTCATCATTTTCAGATTTTTCTCGTTGCAACTGCCACCAAAGAATAACTTCAGGTATAGACAAACGTATCAAGATGACTATAGCAATGATGTTTTTCATTAGGAAAAGGGAAATATCTCGATCAAAAAAGGTCCACAAGTGGACCCTGATCCACAAGTAAGGAACGTTTACAAGAAACAAATGTGCAAATTTGTAGAGTAAACTCAGGCCTAAAGAGACTGGCTTCAGACCAAATGCCGAAAGACTCAACTTGTAAAGTGCTATAGTTGGAAGTATAAAGTTGATGCAAGAAAGAGCAAGAATCCCGTTGAAGAGACCTAGAGGAAGCACAATTCGTGATTCGTTTGTAAACAGAATTCCAAGAAAGGTAACACTGTCAAATATTTCAAAGGTAGTGCTTGCTGAAAGTAAATTGATGTATGACTGGCGGGCTGACTGAGAGTCGGATTCATGGTGGCTCTCCACAAGCAGAAGAAAGACGACGGCCGATGCAGCCAGAAGAAGTTTCAAGAGTTGGGGACTGAATCGAGAAGATGACACGTCTAAATTCTGAGGAATCTCTAGCTTGAACAGAAGGATTATTTTAGTGATAACCAATAAAGAATATAAAATCCACACCATGTAACAAGATGGTAACATTCCTTTCCACCCAAATGACTGGAGAAGTCGCAAACCATCATGTTCATCTTGATTATTTACAGAGTTTTTCATTTTGTTCTGCAAGAAAGAAAGAAAATTATTTTTAATTATCATATTTACTAACAATAAAAACACATAAGATGCTAAATGTAGTGTTACTTCTGTAAACAATAAAAACACATAAGATGCTAAATGTAGTGTTACTTCTGTAAACAATAAAAACACATAAGATGCTAAATGTAGTGTTACTTCTGTAAACAATAAAAACACATAAAATGTTAAATGTAGTGTTAATTCTGCAAACGATAAAAACACAAAATGTTAAATGTAGTGTTACTTCTGTAAACGATAAAAACACAAAATGCTAATGTAGTGTTACTTCTGTAAACAATAAAAACACATAAAATGTTCAATGTAGTGTTACTTCTGTAAACAATAAAAACACATAAAATGTTCAATGTAGTGTTACTTCTGTAAACAATAAAAACACATAAAATGTTAAAATGCACTTAATATGCAGTATAATGTCACATTCAGGCAAATGTATCATTATATTCATTAAACTAAGACATTCAAAGATTGAAGATAGAGCAGTAAGTACAACCTATTGAGTATTTAGTACAAGTAAGTGAAGAGAGAGCAGTAAGTACAACATATTGAGTGTTTAGTACAAGTAAGTGAAGAGAGAGCAGTAAGTACAACATATTGAGTGTTTAGTACAAGTGAAGAGAGAGCAGTAAGTACAACATATTGAGTGTTTAGTACAAGTAAATGAAGAGAGAGCAGTAAGTACAACCTATTGAGTGTTTAGTACAAGTAAGTGAAGAGAGAGCAGTAAGTACAAACTACTGAGTGTTTAGTAAAAGTAAGTGAAGAGAGGGCAGTAAGTACAATGGGATGAACGAAGATGTTGAAACTGACTTCTCAAATTTTGTTTTTTAGGAAGTTTGTTCCATTAGACCACAGCATGAAACTAAGGAGGTGTGTAGAAACTAGTTTCTGTAATTCCAAGCCTTCTGAGAGTTTGTTCACTAACTTTTTATCTGCTACAGAAGACATTTTTTTATTCCTTTAAGAAATTTCAAATTACAGTTCATCACATACAAAAAAGCCACTTCACGTTAAAAGTGAAATAAAACAATTATATGTTATTAACTATAACATTGTCCTTTTTTTATTGTTTTATATTTATTAGGATTATTCATAGGAATCTGAGCTGATAACTTGTTTTTACAGAGAGAATAACAAAATAGAAATGTGACAAGTGGCAGTGTGGGTCTCATTTTTTCACTGCATTAGAAAAATATAAATAATTATAAAAATTTAAGTTGAAAACTGACAAAATGTAGTTAACATTAATATATTTTGGACTTTAATTTGCACTTTTCCTGTTGTCCATGACATTTTATTTAAAACACTGTCAGAAATCATGTACATTCCCTGCTACCATATTGTACTAAGTGTTTCTTACTTAATGAGACTTTTAAATAAATAACAGAGTATTGTTAGAGAAGAACAGTATTGCTGCAGTTACAGTAAATTATTATAAACTGCTTGGTCACAAAAAGTAGAGAATGTGTGGTAAGATAGAAATTCCCTTCCTCTACAAACTGTACGCAACTATTTAACAGTAATCATACATTGTCTTGTGTTAAGAAAACTGGTCAACAATGAGAGACTGAAGAGATGCATAAAAATATTGAAACTAGTTTCTACACACCTCCTTAGTTTCATGCTGTGGTCTAATGGAACAAACTTCCTAAAAAACAAAATTCGAGAAGTCAGTTTCAACATCTTCGTTCATCCCATTGTCTTGTGTTAAGAAAACTGGTCAATAATGAGAGACTGAAGAGATGCATAAAAATATTGAAACTAGTTTCATTTCTTGACAGTTTGTTCTATTTACTTTGGTTTAAAAGCAGTTCACATATTTTACATAAGAAAAATTAGTTTCAATGAAAAAGGTTTAAATACAATATTTTTTATTAGAGTTTTTTTTGTATGAATTTTTATAAAAATATAAAAAATCTTTTCATTGACTATAACCGTGTAATCAACACAGACTCTGCTGTGTTACCTGAGTGTTTTGATACACAAAATGTTACCCCATTCATTTTATAATCATAAATTTTGTAGTGTTGTTTGGTCATCTTACATTCAAAGGTTAAAAATTTAACCGAGAAGAAATTAGGTCTGAGAAATGAAAGTTTCTTGTATATTCGTACTAAATGCCACCTATGTGGGGTAGTCTGGAGGTTAGCATGCCAGACTTAAAATCTGAAGGTGTGTGTGTGCTTCATACTCTTGAACTACGTCTGCATTATAAGAGCTAGGTCCAGTTCCACTATTTGATTAGAATAGCCCAAGAATTAATGTTCAC